GCATCATGCATGAGGCGAGACACTGGAGTGGAACCCAGATGGTAAGCGACTAGTTGGTTGTTTTAGGGAGGGTGATATGGAGGAGATGGTGTGAGGAGGAAATGAGAGCTTGTGGGTTGTCGTGGAGGTGTGTTCGAAAGATTTCAGGGGAGAGAGCGTATTGGAGACGTGCTACTGAAGCCTTATGTTCCATTAGAAACCCAATGGAGAAATAATAATAATAATATCAAGTGATGAATCCGTATTTGAATTCTTTAGCTCTTGTCGACAAGATGTATGTGTCCATTCGGAGAGATTCACATTGACAACCAAATGGTTAGTCTTTGTTAATCGTACAGTAAACCGTACTGAATTTGCTTTTGATATGAGAATGTTACCAGCATATTTTAACATACCGTATCTATTGTATCATCGACATGAGAATGAACCTGCAACCCGAAACATTTCGCGTAGGTAAACATGCCGGCCATCTGAGCTTGGTTTGTTTTTATTTATTTATATAGGGATATATGAGAATGATTATTCCTCAGATTCACCTACGGAAACGTTGATATAACTTTTATTTCCTCTAAATAATCAAATTAAGCCGCCTTTTTAGCATCAAAGACTTCACTAAACCATTATTCCATTAGTAGTGCAGACAGATGGTATGTATTACTACAAGGATCAACTTTTGTGTAGATAAATGATGGTGGTTTCATCATCTAAACAGAAAGCAACGTGTAGTTGACTGATTATAATTATTCAGTGCCTAAACGTGACTGCTGATATTACTTGTTACATTTAGCCACTAGTTAGAAAGTAGACAGTATTCGTAAAACTCATCCTCCATGATGATATATTAAACATTCACTAATATCATGTAACAAATAGTTTGTCAATTGAGTCATATGTTTGAGTGATACAATGAAACCTCTTGCGATAGTTGAATGAAAATAATACATAAATCAAAGGGAAAAAAATATTGGAGGGAATCAACAAAAATACACAACTGAAAAGAGGATTCATAGTTGTATAGACATTTGAATAGATTCATGAAGAAGTAATACTGTTAACAAGTTGAAATAAAGAGTAACATTCTCTTGTTCATTGTTGTTTATTTGCCAGACTCTATGTTGTGATAACATCGAACTCTTCCTCAAGTTTGTTCAGAGATTTTCAGGGTCTCCTCTCCTACCTTGTGTGTATGTGTGTGTGTGTGTGAGAGAGAGAGAGATAGGTGGAAAAACTATAGCGAGCTACAGAAAACTATCAGCTTAAAATTTCTCTCAACATTTTAATTGTTACTTAGTTAAAAAGATAAATGAGCAAACAATTGAATACACAAGGGTGAAATAAAAAATATGAAAAAACATTCAAATAATTCTCAGTTTTTGTTTTTCTTCTCATGGCGTTATATTATTGTATACATACTAAGTTATACACACATCTATATAACAATTGTAAATAATAAAAATGTAATAAAAATCAATTGAAACAATATAACATTTCATTGAAATGAGTAATAAAGATATTTATTTGATTAAAGTGGAGATAGTGATAAGGATGATACCATTAAGGAGGTAGACGAACCGTATAATTCATTAAAATATGCTCTATTTATTTCCCTTGTTGTCTACTAAGTTTCTTCTTGCCGAGGAAGGAAGGGGAGGGGGGCGGGGAAATGGTTTAACCTATTTGTTACATTGTTATCGTTAGCAAATGTTTATTTTTAAGATTTTACATAGTAAATTTTATAATTTATTGGAAATTCTTCTATTCTTTAAGTTATTGATATTTTTTCACAAAATCTATTTATAGTTGTTATCTTACATTTTAATGCAACGCTATGAGGTAGTTTTTAAGTAATGTACTGTAGAATATCTACTTTGTTATCTATCCAATGTTAGGGGGTTTTTCTCCTTCCATTTATACTTTACTGTTTATATAGAAAGGTTGATTTATGCTCTTGTTACTTGTATTATTCTCATCTTCAGTGACTCTATGAACGTTATCCATTAGTTTCGAGTTTTGCTATTCACCAAGTATGCCATTCACAAACTAACATGTTTAATAGATCGTTTTCAGGAAAAAAAACTATGCCATTTGACTAGAAAGATATTAAGATAGTCTCCTTGCCAAAGTCGGAGACTACAGGTGAGTGTTTCAAATTCTCTACGGTTGCAGTTACTTCTCCATTCTTAAGTAAGTAATACAGAAGTGTTTGAACTTTCATTGAAGGTTTTTGGAGATCATAATCGATTTACATTCAACCTCGTCAAGGTAACTAGTTCACCAGTAACTAGCCGGGCCTAAGCCCGAGTAAAGAGGGAAGGTTGAGGATAGGTCTAGCAACCCTCCCCGTAAAACCGATCAACCGCTACAGAAACCTCCAAAACATAGACAAAATATACAAAATAAAAACAAACTTATTCCTCGTTGGAAACGGACACGTATAATGAAGCCGGTTAGTGAAAGCCTTCAAGAAGCCAATTCCCGATGTATCTTCTCTCCCTCGATGAAAGCGAAAGCAAACATGGGGATATGGAATGTCCGCACCATGTTTAGAAGCGAGCAAGACTGCCCAGATTGCCAAAGAGATGAGAAGGTATGCATGGTATAGAAGTGTTAGGAATCTGCGAAAGCAGGTGGAATGTAAGTAGACTATCTCAACTGTCTCAACTGAGAGTCAATAATCTACTCCGATATTGTCAACCAGACGACAACCACGAACACACTGAGTTTTGTGGTGGCTATCATGATATCCTCCTCCCAAAAGTATCGAAGACTCTATGTCATGCAGTGGAAATCAATCTGCTCATGCAGGATCAGATCATGACAGTAAGATTCAACTCAGAAGGAAGGAAAGTCACAATCATCCAATTCTACACTACACTACACTACACTACACTAGACTACACACCTACAAATAATGCAGATGAAGAGAAGAAGGAGATATTCTACAGACAAGTGCAATCAACACTGGACAAGACCCCACCTCAGTTGGCGAAATCAGAGTTCTAATGGGTGGTGTGACATGGATGTCGAACTGGGAGCAGACAACACAGGAGGCGTAGCAATCATGGGTCGGGAAGTAGTGGGTGAAATGAAGGAGAAAGAGAAGGAGAAAGGAGAAGTGTTTGCAGACTTGTGAGCATTCGAGGATTTGGTGATTGGAGGCGATGCAGTGTGTACAAGCACAAGTATATTCACAAAGTGACCGACATGGATTTGATTTCCCCAGACACCAGGACACACTACACTAAAATGGGATGAAGTTGATCTGAATGTGAATAAAGTGGCTAGGCATCGTCTTTGACAGAAGATCAGATGAAGAATGGTAGCGGATGTAGCTTGACACTACTCACTGTGTAGTGCAAGGAATCCACGTTTAGAATCGAGTTGAGAGCCTTGAAAGAAGTTGGTGATAGACCACAATTCAAGTTCAGCACCCAGAACAGAAACCGACCGACGAAACTACAAACGACATCTTCGCATCAGTTTTTCAGTCATGAGCACAAAATGGAAGATATTTAGCAACATCCTTGTGTGGATGAACGCTGGAACTCTTTGAAAGCTATGTGGAAAGAAATCAGCATAACCGTGTTAGGAGGGAAGACGGAAGAAGACAAGAAATGGATGTCGTCGGACACATGGAAGATGACAAAGGGGAGGAGGATGGTGAAGCAGAGGCGAAACCAGTGCAAGAATGCTTAACGAAAAGAGGAACTGAGTACAACGTATGAAACGCTGGACAAAGAAGTGAAGAAGAGTTTGCGTAAAGAGAAAAGACACTTCCACGATACACTGGCAAGTGAAGCAGAACAGACTGAGAGCGTAGAATGGCAGTCAACTCTCTACCCCAAGGCTGCTTACTATCACCGATGATTTTCCTGATTCTGATGGATTGGATCATGCAACAAAATTTGAGGAGCTAGAAGAGGGGCATACGCTGGCTGGACCGATGGAGTAGAAGACCCTAGATGATTTGGATTTCGCCAACGATGATGATTTATCTCTGATGTCTCGTAGCACAAACTCGAAGATCGACAGGCAAAATCCAACAAGTTGACAGAAGAGACAAAAGCGGCGAAGACAGGACTTCCTTCCTTCAGGTGAACGTAGAGAATACAGAGGTGATGAAGATACCCAACCAACCAACAACAACAGCAACAACAAGAAACATAACCACCATCAACTGGTGAAATGTAAAGGAAGTAGTCTCTTTCACCTACCCACCTACCTACCTAGGCAGCATCGTTTCAACTACAGGCGGCTGCGGGACAGATGAGGACGTCGAAGCCAGTCAGCCAGCATCGGAAAGACAGCAACACAGGCCTTCATCAATCTGAAATCACTGTGGAAATCTACTGCACTCAACGACACTCCACGACACTGCACTCAGCATAAAGCGTGAACAACATTCCGATTTTCAACACTAAACCTGTCAAGTCAGTACTTCTATGTGTGATGGTTGAGAGACTTGGCACGTTACAAAAAGCATTTCCAACAAACTGCACACACACATACATCAACAGCTACCATCTACGCTCACTGGATAGTGAAGATGGAGATGAGATGGATGGCCAGAATAATAAGAATAAGTAGGGAGGAATTCTGACTGGTCTGTCAACGAATCAAGCAACTGAGAACCTGTCACCGAACAAATATGCAGAAGAAGAGAGTGGAGATGGATTGTATTGTATTGTATTGGACATACAGTGAGAAGATCGTTTGAGGACATCACGCACTAGACCAGGCCAGGCCAAGCCATCAAGTGAAAGCCACATGGGAAATGACGATTTGGGTGACATTGAGGAGATGGTGTGAGTAAGAAATGAAAGCTTGTTGTAGGCTGTCATGGCGTCAAGTTAAAAAGACTGTAGAGAGGAGATTGAAATGGAGATGTGATACTGAAGGTGTATGTTCCATTAGGAAACCAATTGACTAATAAATAAAAATAAAATCACTCTACTAACATCTAAGTAGAAATATTTACAACAGAATTTCAAGATATTTACCTGATACTACTTGCTTATTGTTAGTAGAGTTAATAAATATTGGATTATATTGATTATAATGTATTGCATGATGTTTATTTGAATTGAGTATGCATGAATCTGATACATCTAGCTGATAAGTCATCTCTTTTTGATTGAACATCTGTGAATTTGATGATAATGTTGAAAGCGTAAGCGGATGTACATTAACAGGTTGATTACAATTGATTGGTTGCATTGAATTCGTGTTATTATCACTAGTATTTATTGTCATCATACTATTTAACTGTTGTGGAATTGATCTACTGAAATTCCAGTTACAGATCTGAAAAGATATAGAAAGTAAGTAGAAAGAAAAAAAAAACAGTGATATCATTGAATGAAGATGGAAGCTATTCACATGTTGAACGTTGTATCTTTCATTGAATCTTTCTTAGAAAGTTCAACAGTAGTTAATGGAGTTATTCTTTGACACAGAGATGTTAGCCATATCAGTACTTTTACCATTTTCATGATAAGTATGCCGTCGCAAACTTTGTCAATAACAATCTCTACCTACCTATTTGTTTTTATAACTTACTCATTTCTCATCACCTTTAGTAAAATTATAGACTAGTTATTATTGCTTTCATACCCAACCAACAACAACAGCAACAATAAGCTCCAATCACCATCAACGGGAGAAACCCAAAGGAAGTAACCTCCTTCACCTACCCAGGCAGCACTGTTTCAAATACAGGTGGCACAGACGAGGACGCCAAAGCCAGCCGGAATACAAAAGACAACAAGACAGGCGTTCACTAACCTGAAACCAATGTGGAGATCTTGTGCGCTGAACTCAGCATAAAGTGTGAACAAGATCTGGATTTTCAACAGTAATGTCAGTCAAGTCAGTGCTTGTGTGTGATGGTTGAGAGACTTGTCGCGTTTCAAAAGGGATTTCACACAAAGTACAGACATTCATGAAGAACTGCCTACTCTGGCTCGTTACTGAAGCTCAGATGGATTGTCAGAATCATAGGGATAATCAAGGCGGAAGTTAGGCCTATCAACGAACCAAGAGAGCACGAATCTAGTGCTGAACAAATATGCAGTGGAAGGAAGTGGAGATGGATTGGATGGGCATAGACTGAGAATGCCGACTGGGGGCATCATGCACGAGGCGAGATGCTGGAGTGGAACCCAGATGGTAAGCGACTAGTTGGTTGTTTTAGGGGAGGGTGATATGGAGGAGATGGTGTGAGGAGGAAATGAGAGCTTGTGGGTTGTCGTGGAGGTGTGTTCGAAAGATTTCAGGGGAGAGAGCGCATTGGAGCTGTTCTACTGAAGCCTTATGTTCCATTAGGAACTTAATGGACAAATAAGAAAGAAATAATAATATTTTTGTTTTCAAGAGCTAACAAGTCATTATCCTTATGTATACTACTTATAAGAATGCTATATCTCTAACATAGTAATATGAATTTCTATTCGATTTATGGAAGGTTCCGAAGAAAGAGGCCAAAAATCCATAAACAATAATGAACAGCTGAAATATTGAAAAAAAGTTACAAACAGTAGTGTTCAGTACAAGATTGTATTACCTTCTCAGTACTCATAGTAGTTTTATCAATAAACTGGTTCATTTATTACAATATAGTTTGCCTATTAAGTTTCATAAAGCTTGATGCAACCCACTTGGTTGTGTACTCTTTGGAGCTGTTAAAATTCATGTTAATGGTGTGAATATTTGAGATGGGATCTTTCAAGTATAACAGATACTTTCTGAAAACTGAAACATATATATCAACTTTCAGAAAAAGACAATAAGACTGCATAATACTGTTGGATGAAAGCAGTGAGTAAATAAACTTTGAGTGTGAATCTACTACTCGCATATAGTTAATGGTGGACACAGAGTAGATAAAATGAAAGCGTTGAAAGTGATTTGTCACATCCTGTTGAACTTTTTCAATGGAGTTTGAATTCACACTTTACATGTAGCCAGGGTTTGGTATACAGACACGCTTAAGGACACCCGACAATAGCTGTATTTCTCGATCTGGAGGCTGCTTTCGACTCCGTTGATCGAGAACTATTATGGCAATGTCTCTTACTGAAAGGCTTGCCGAGTAAGTACACCAACTTGTTGAAGGCTCTCTACTCGAACACTTGTGAACGTATTAGAGCCTATAGTGAGATGTCAGGTGAGTTGTACTCATCAAGTGGTGTCCGTCAAGTGCTCCCATTGTCTCCATTTTTAGTCAGTTTTATCAAACATATTCTTATGGATGTCTCCCTCTCGTCACCTTATTACACAGACGTTGACATAATCAATGGAAAATTTTCGTTAGACCTAGAATACCCAGATGAGATTGTCCAGTTAGGTGAAGAGACTGGCAAGATGCTGAGTCTTCTAAATACTTTGAGTGGCGGTTTCAGAATGTTTAGGATGCGTTTCTCACCACCCGAATGCAAATTGTTGCTTCAGGATTAGTCTTCAGCGGTGCCACGGCTAACAGTAGAGTGTAGTGGTTGAGTGTGTCGACCACTTCACTTAGCCAGGACGTAGGATCAGCCCTGGTGTTTGGCTCAGTGGCCGATGAAGTCTTTACATGTATACAAAAGGCTCGGTTAACTTTTGCCAATTTACGCCACCTATGGTGCCGCCGTGATATTCGATTATCTACTAAGAGAGGCGTGTACTACACTTGCACAACAGTTCGCTCCGTCCTACTGTATGGCTGTGAAACATGGCCATTGAAAGTGGAAGATATGAGAAGGCCTCAAGTGTTTGACTACCGTTGCCTTCATAGTATAGGAAGTATTCAGTGGTGTCATCATGTGAGTGAGTAACGCAGAAGTCAGATGTAGAGTTTTGGAGAAGAGATAAATCAGTAGACGAAGTTGTGAACCTTGATTGACTGAGATGGTTGAGACACGTGGTACGTATGCCTAGTTGCCGACTACCCCATCACACAATGTTGGCCGGAGTAGGTTCAGTCTGGAAAAAGGCTTGAGATGGCCAGACTAAAACATAGAATCAATGTATGAAGTGTTTGACTGTTGGTTTAAGCCATATGGGGCGATGTAGAGTAGCCAGTTGGGGTCCGCGGGACGAGTGGTTGGAAACTCTATGTGATATGGCTGAGAACCGATATTAGTGGAGGATGTGTATACATAAATTATCCTCATCTCATTCTTTCTTTCCCTCTTTTCGTACTTTATTTTTCTTTTGACTGAATTTTCTTTTCTTCATCTTGTACTTCAGTGCCTTTTTACTTGGTGTGATGATATGAAGTGTGGCAAGTGGGACCGTCACGCAGTAATACCTGGCCGTATATTGATGATAATGATGTGGCTGAGGCTATAAGAGTTCGAATGTATAATTTGAAGCCTTATATTCAAAAGAAGTTTTTACAGGCGTTTATCTTTTCCTCCACTCGATTGCATTAACCTCCTTATTTTTATATCTCTTTGGGAAACTCAGATAATGTAAGCAAAACCATGAGTGCATCATATCTACATGACATTAGTGTTTGGATAAATATTTAGCAATATCAAGGCATCGGTATATGAGCCTATGTGCCAACAGAGATCATGTATTTCGGTCCTATATTACAACAGGAAATTACACTTATCAATACACAACAATCGACATCCGCTCCAGATGCTATGACCATCATGTTTCAGTAGCTTGCTGAATGACATTAGCCTTTGAAGCGACAGGTACTTAGTTATTGTACCAGTGTGAAAAATATCGTTAGCTTTAGTTGTAGATAAGTTCAGCCGATGAGTTTTAAATATAACGGAATATGCATCTAGGATTCCACTGCTAGCCACCATTCATTCAATGTATAATGAAATTCAAGTTTTGATAATGTAAACTAGGTTCGTGGCAGTATAAAATAACTGAGTGTTCATTATAGGCTAAATTCCAAATGAATTTAAGAAACTTATATCTGTTACTCTTTGTTTAGTTTAATTTTCTCCTTTTTTTTTCTTTTCTGTATACCCCATTTGAAGATAAAGAAAGGAAATCAAATCAATTTTTATGTTCAGAATCATTTCTTTATTTATTATTTTTCAACTTAGGATTTTTGTTTGATACAACCTACTTCCTTCTTTGACTTTACTGCTTTCTTTCGTGTCTATATAAAGGATTGAATTGGTATTAGTCACGCCAAGTTGTGAAGAGTTGTATCATTCACAGAAGAGGAAATAAAAAATGATAATCTATTAACTTCACTTGCTTGAACAACCTCCGTCGAATTGTTGGATGCATCGTCTGCGTGCCACTCAGAATGTGTGTATGTGTGTGTGCACGTGTCTGACAGTGTACTTGTTCATCCTTATAGTTATAAATGGTTAGCGATTAGGGAAGGAAAATGACATAATTATTCAAATGTGAGCATATTTGATGCTTATTTCACATAAAATGTAATTTTTTTATTCGACAATTTGTTAAAATGTGATGTAGAGCTAGTTCATTTCTATATTTCACCGGGTAGAATGAACTACCATTGCTCTAAGATGCCGTTAAGGTTAACTTTCATCTTAATTCATCTCTGCCACATATACCAAGTTTCGCATACCAAATGAAAGTTTAGTTTATATATATTGTGGTCAATTGGATAGGTTGTCTTTCTATGTTTTTGAGGGATGTTGAGAATCGGTTAGGGATGAAATGACTTCGAATACACTAAAACGCCATGCATATATATTTTCCATTTACTGTACTTCATAATTTCAAAGATCTACTTAGTTTTCTTTTGTTGTGTCCTTCTTTAATACTTGAATTTCATTCACCCATTGACTTTTTGTATTGTTGTTGAATAAGGAGGCGTTTATTCCTGTACGTTTGTATCTGTCGAGATTGCTAAACTTATCTTAGGCAGGGTACAGAATTGAGTGTAAGTTAGTAGAGTAGTCGGCTGGTCCCGCTTCTTCTCCGCCTACCCTACTAACTTACACTCAATTCTGTACCCTGTCTAAGATAAGTTTAGTGATCTTGACAGATAAAAACGTGCAAGAATAAACGCCACCTTATTCTACAATAATATAAAAAGTTAATGGGTGAAAGAGTATTTTGACCACTTTAAAAACTTTTGAATCTACCACTGCCTGCAACTCATCCAGCGATACAATCAGCAGCCATAGAACTATCAGTGAAAACAAACACTTAGACAAAAGAAGAAGGAAAGTCTTGAATGCCACTTCATAACGTTATTGAAAGCTAGGAAAGCAGCAAGACCAGATGGAATTCCAACAACAGCACTGTAAACAGACGAAGAGACAACATCAGACATGCTCACACCATTATTTCAGAGGGTTAGGAAAGAAGGA